CCCCTGCACCCCTGCCCTGCCCCTCTGTGCCCTGCCCTCTGCCTACTCCCTGCCTGGTCCCCGACAGCCCGCATCTGGCTGGATTCTGGCCCCGAAACACTGTGCTGCAGCTAACTAGAAACTCGTATGTAGTGCAAGGTGCGATGGCTTGCGAGGCCTCGGATGAGGCTGGGGTGGCAGGGGGCAGCTGCCCTGGCCCCAGCCCTGCTGCCCGGCCCGGCCCGGCCCGCGCCCGCAGCGTCTGTCGGTTCCCTCGTCTCCTTCTCTTGGGCCAGTGCCAGGGCTGGAGGGGAGGGCCGGCCGGCGCTGCACCTGCACCCCTACGAGTGCGGGTCAGTGGCCGCGCTGGCCCCAGGAGAAGGCCGCCCGTGGGCCGTGTCCCGTGCCTGAGAAGACGCTGGCGGGCTCTGGAGAGGACGGGGCCTCGGCCATCTGTGGAGGCGGCGCTTCGAACCCGGCTCCGCCCCGCGCCTGCCGCTGCCCACTCACAGGGCGGCGGGGCGCACCTGTGAGGGCGTGGAGGGCATTTGGGGAGCCAAGACCTGGGGCTGGCAGCCGTGTTTGGTTTGAACCCTGTCATCCTGTAGAGATCGCTCTTGTTCCCCGGCCTGACCCTGCAGGGAGTGGAACTCGGCCTGTGCTTCAGCCTCCAGAGGCTCCCACCCCAGGGAGAAAGGCCTGGCCTGGCAGAGCGGTGTCTGCGCCTGTGATCCCGAGACGTGGGAGGCAGAGAGGGGAGGACCGCAGCGGGAGGCTGGCCCAGCCAACGTCAGGGAGACCCTCTCTCTGACACCAGGCTGCGTGTGCTGTGCACATCTGTAGTCCTAGCTGGGGGAGGCTGGTGGCTTGCGGCCAGCCTGGGGGCAAAAATGCCAGAGCCTCTCTGGAAAATGAACTGGAGCGACCAGGGCTGGAGCTGTGGCTTGGGCGGTAGAGCCCCTGCTTAGCAAGGGCCAGGCTCAGGCCCAAACCCCAGAGGGGCCATGAGTGTGGGCAGGGCTGTGCCCGAGGGTCGGGTGCGGAGGGCTGGGTGACCCGTGACCGTGTGGAGCTGGTACAGGACAGCGGAGATAAACCAGGTGCTCAGGTCAGGCCACAGCCCCACGCAGAGAGCAAAGGCAGCGAAGAGCCCGGGGAGGCTGGGAGAGGCCGGCAGCCAGCGCCCAGCCACACCAGCTCTGGGTTTCCTCTGGGAGCCACTGGCTGCTGTGGGAGCAGCCCGGCCACGCCCCCGGCCACGCCCCTGGCCTCCCATTCCCCAGGCCGGTCGCCACCGTGGCTGCTTCCAGGTCTGCATAGAGAGGCCGGGCGGGCGGTGGTCCCAGCCCGTGTCTCTCCCTGCAGGATCTCGCAGCGGGTGGAGCTGAGTCGGAGGCAGCTGCAGGCCATCGGGGCCCGTGTCTCCCTGGCCCAGGCCAAGATCGAGAAGATCAAGGGCAGCAAGAAGGCCATCAAGGTAGCCGCCTGCGCCCGCTGCCCAGCCCGCCCTCCCGCCTTGCCCGGAGCTCCCCCCTCTGCCCGCAAGCCAGCCCGGGGCGCCCGGGCACCCTGACCAGCCGGGCCCACAGGTGTTCTCCAGTGCCAAGTACCCAGCCCCGGAGCGCCTGCAGGACTACGGCTCCATCTTCACGGGCGCGCAGGACCCGGGCCTGGAGCGGCGTCCGCGCCACAGGATCCAGAGCAAGCACCGGCCCCTGGACGAGCGCGCTGTGCAGGTGTGCGCCCGCGAGGGGGTGGGGCAGTGGGGGGGGGAGGCGGGCCGCCGAGCTGAAGCCCACAGCACGCTGCTCATCCCCCAGGAGAAGCTGAAGTACTTCCCTGTGTGCGTGAGCGCCCGGCCCGAGCCTGAGGACGAGGCGGAGGAGGGGCTCGGGGGTCTGCCCAGCAACATCCGCTCTGTCAGCTCCCTGCTGCTCTTCAACACCACTGAGAACCTGTACGCCCTGGGCGTGGGGGGGGGGAGGGGAGAGGGGGTAGGCAGGCCAAGGGGGCGGGCAGGCCGCCCGGCTTCGTGGGCTTCACACCAGTCCAGGAGCTGTAAGCTGACTGGCTTGACTCGGAGCCTGCAGAAAATGCTCGTATGTAGTGGGCTGGGGGAGCTCACCGCCCCGCCCCGCCCCTGCAGGTACAAGAAGTATGTCTTCCTGGACCCGCTGGCCGGCGCGGTGACCAAAACCCATGTGATGCTGGGGGCAGAGACAGAAGAGAAGTTGTTTGCAGCCCCCCTGTCCATCAGCAAGAGAGAGCAGCTGGAGCAGCAGGTGGGGCGGGCCAGGACGCAGCAGCGCGGGGCGGCTGGGCACCTGCCAGGGAGGTGCCGCTGAACCCCATCCATCATCCACCCACCCATCCACCCTTCATCAATCATCCATCCATTATCCATCAACCTATCCATCCATCATCTACCCATCATCCACCCTCGTCCATCCAGCCCGGCTGGCTGGGCCCCTACAGGCCGGCAGTGCCCCCACACCACCCTCTCAGGGCCCCCATGCAACCCACAGGTCCCGGAGAGCTACTTCTACGTGCCAGACCTGGGCCAGGTGCCGGAGATGGACGTGCCCTCCTACCTGCCGGACCTGCCGGGCGTGGCCGATGACCTGGTCTACAGCGCCGACCTGGGCCCTGGCATTGCGCCCTCCGCCCCCGGGGCCATGCCCGAGCTGCCCGCCTTCCACACCGAGGTGGCCGAGCCCTCCAAGCCCGGTGAGTGGAGGGGCTGGTGGTGGGAGGGGCAGGGCTGGGCAGCCGCTGCCTTCTGAGCACGCACTCACTTCCCATCCAGACTCGGAGGACGGGGTGCTGACAGCGCCCCCGCCACCCCCACCCCCACCGCCGCCACCCCCTGCTCCCGCCGTGCTGGCTGGAGCTCCCCCACCGCCCCCGTCCCTCCAGACCAGCGCCCCTGCCGGCCCGGGGCCCAGGGAGGACGATGCGGGCAGCGGCGTGCCCCCCCCAGGTAAGAGCCCTTGGGGAAGGGGTCCCCCCCAAACGGGAGCCCTCCTGCAGAGCAGGTCCTGCTCCCCGTCCCCTCCCTTCCTCCGTGCTCGGAACCAGTGGTGTGGGGCTGTCTTGCCCACCAGCCTGAGGGGGGGGGGGGCTCTGCCCAGAGTGTATCAGTGGCCTGGCTCACGTCGCGACCCTGCCGGCCATGCGTGCCTGTGACCGCAGCAGCGCCAGGGGCAACAGGCGGGACCCCATGGGGCGCAGCCCCCTGCCACAGCCCCGTGCCCCCCGCAGCCCCCATCCAGGGCGCCCCCAAGGAAGTGCTGGACCCCTCCAGTGGCCGGGCTACTCTGCTGGAGTCCATCCGCCAGGCCGGGGGCATCGGCAAGGCCAGGCTGCGCAGCGTGAAGGAGCGCCGGTTGGAGAAGAAGAAGCAGAAGGAGCAGGAGCAAGGTGAGCCCGCGCTCCCCGGCGCCCCCACTCCCGGTCCTGCCTGGCCCGGGCTCGTGTGCCCTCGGGGCCGGGCAGCATGTGGCCCACACAGGCCCACCGCGGCCACGCGCCCTGTGCACCCAGCAGCGGGGCGCTGACCGGCACCCCCGCCTGCCGAGCCTTTGTGGGCTGAGGACTCGGCGTCCACCCCAAGCGCCACCCTCAGGCCCCGCGCCCTGCCTTGCAGTGAGAGCCACGGGCCAGGGCGGGGACCTCATGTCCGACCTCTTCAACAAGCTGCTGCTGCGGCGCAAAGGTAGGTGGGTGTGGACGCCTTCCCGTGGGGGGGGGGGCTGCCAGCGCAGCACCCCAACACCTCGATTGCCCCCCCCCAGGAATCTCTGGGAAAGGCCCGGGCGCAGGGGCCAGCGAGGGGCCGGGCGGGGCCTTCGCCCGGATGTCAGACTCCATCCCGCCCCTGCCGCCGCCGCAGCAGCCCGCGGGGGAGGATGAGGACGACTGGGAGGCGTAACCGGCGCCCCGCGAGCAGCCCCCCCCCCAGAATAAACCTTCCACGGGACACGGCTCCCACGCTTTATTCAGTGCACGGAGTCTCTAACACCAGCCTCGCTGCGGGCACCCCGGGCCTGGCCGGTGGCGATTGGGGGG